GGAGTGCGGCCACCCCCCCCCCCCCCCCCCCCCCCCCCGTTCCAGCATCTAGAATAACACAGAGCAACGATATATACAATATAGTACTGGGATTGAAGAAAAAAACATCAATTTAAAACTACAGGGGAAATGTAACTAGACAAGATGTAACTGCACAAACAGGTATATAGCCAGAATAATGGTGAGCATGCAAGCCCAAATTAGCCAAAAAGCCCAGCAACCAGATACCATAGTTATGGGTTCATTGGCAATACTTCTATAGATTAAATAGATAATCATTTATTGTTGATTTGTGAGATGCACAAAATATATCCAGAGAACAGCACCCTGATGTAGTTTTCTCACAGACGATGGGATTCCACTTGTAGTAAACTCACTGTTAAGTACATCTTTTGGACTGATTAGACCTTGCAAGTTTCTCTGGCTCTTAGCTCACTGACTAACATCCTGTGCTACACACAGTGACTCTATTTCCTGATTTAGATTCATCAGTTCTGGAATGCATGTTTATTTACAACCTCTTTGGGTGGGGGTGTTTTTTACTGACAGTTCCAAAAAAAATATTATTTCCTGTTCCAAGTATTGTCAGTGGAAAAAAAGCTTAATTTCAAACATAGTCTTGGACTGGCTCTCTCTAGTAAATGGACAGGTGCTTGAAATTTTAAAATGTTAAGCTATATGTATGGTTTAGATGAGCAACCCTGCAATTTAAGGAACAATCCTGCAAAGTGCTGAGTGTGGTCAGCTGCCATTGAGTTAAATGCCTCCTCTTTTGCAAGATGCTGACAATTTCAACTCCCATTTAGTGGTGTGGCCCCTTCAGTGAGTAATTGGAGTTAAGAGAGTTCAGTACTGAATCAATGTCTGGAATAGGTATTAGGGGACACTAAGCAGGTGCTGGTTGGAACCATTTTTAGTTATTAAGATCCCATTGTAATTTCTGCAAGAGATGACATATGAATCCTATTATCATGGCCAGAATTCAGGAATATCACACTATTCCACATAGCTGGACTATTTAAAATTTATTTTAAAGCACCTAACCTCTTGGCTGAAAGTTGTAAGGGGAATGCTTCTTCTCCTCTAACATTTCTTGAAAGAAAATGGCCTAGGCATCTAAGCTGTCTGACTCCTTAGGGCAGGTTCCTGTTCATGGATCACTAAGTAATTATATGCACCTCCTGCAGCCTGATATAGATGGCAACCTCTATGGGACTTAGAACACTCCACTCTCATTGGTATCTCCTATTGACTAATTTAGGCAGCTCCCAGCTTTTGTGAATTTCATTCTTAAGCATTTATCTCTCCCCTTTCATTGTATAGCAGCAATGGGCAATAACCAACCCCCAGGCCAGATGTGGATCACCAGCATTAGTGCCTGGCAAACTGCTAGCTCTTTATTTGCCTGCACCTCCACAGATACAGCTGTTCAAAGTGCCGGTTCACCACAGATCACTATTCCTGGCAAAAGGTCACTGCAAAAAGCAGCACAAATTGGGACACCGCTTCCTACAGCTCCGATTGGCCCAGAACAATAAGCCTTGTCTGGCTTATTGCAGACCCCTGTTGTATAGCAGGGCTACTCAATATGTGGCCCATGGGTTGCATGCGGCCCGCTTGTTTGTGGAGCATAGAGCAGCTTGGGTTTACGCAGCGCTCAACCTATGGCCCATGGGTGGGAGCCAAAACAAAAAAGTATTCAATATAATGGTCTTCTCTTGATATGCATTTAAGTAGTTAAATTCCTGGACTGTCATTGCTCATTAAAAGTGCTGTCATATGGGTGGAAATTGGGTAAATATTGCATTTTATTAATATCAGCAGAACTGACTTAAATGGGGCCTGCAGGTTGTGTAGTCTTGCCTTAATCTTTGTATCCATGCCCATCAGTGTGAAAGAAGCTATTTGCGTGTATATATACAGTCACACTTAAGTTGCGGCCTTCAGCATGTGCTATGAGTATCATTGTGGCCCCCAGTGCTTCCAAAGTTGAGTAGCCCTGTTATATAAGATACCTTGGTGCCTAACTCTAGACTTTGTGGATTCCACTATTTAACTGGTGATTTTCTAGGCACCAAAAAACTAGGCATTGCATTGCTGAGCTTTGTGGATCCAAGCCATATTAACTGAATATTTGAAGGTTTGCTCAGCAAAAATCACAGTATAAACCAATGAACTGTGAGGCACCAAAACCAAGATAAAAGAGCTAGGAACTACAATTGGTCCTATGTTTATAATGTAACTGTAATGGTAAAACACCCCAGTACTCACCCAGGCCAGAGGACATAATATCAGAATCAGGGATTGTGTTGGTTTCCCACACCAAAGTGAGGAACCTTGCCCCGTTGAAGTTAATGAATAACCCAAATCTTGGAACATCATGGAAAACTGATCAGCTGACAAATATTCTGAGCCATGGAACTTTAAAACAAAACCAATGTCTATTGAAATGTTTGGTTCTATGAGATCAGAATGAAACAATTTATGCACACAACCTGGTTGCAAACCTTTGTTAATAAAAACATTCAAGAGACTGTTTTAAGGATGGTGCATAAACACTATTGTTTATAATGTTGCAGCATTCAGGGGTCAGCTCTTCTGCAGAATATTGCCCAGAATGCAATTAACAGGAAAGCTGTTTTGTTTCATGGGTAAGAAGATGCAGAATTTGAAAAGCTCCTAAATGTACTCTGGCCCCCAATCCTCTTTCACCCCTCAAAGAACTCCCAAGAAACAGAGATAATTCATTTATTTTGTGAAAGGGAAACTGCCAATCTAACAGTATGTTTCAATGCTCTTTTCTTCATAATGGATACACCAGCCCCCGTGCATCTATAGCACATTCACCCCTGCCAGAGGTTCAAGCATTCTGCACACTCAGCACAGGCACCCTTGGAACACAGACAAGCATCTCCCCAGCACACAGGATAGCCACACAGTACAGGACACCCTCCATCCCAACACTGTCCCCTACCACAAGCCTCCACACAACATATCCTTAACCCATACACTTTAAAGTGCTACATTGTCCTGCATTTTGCTTCAACTACCCCAGACTAACACGGCTACATTTCTATCACTATTAACCCATACAGTTCACGTGACAGTTCACATGACACACACCCCTATAATCCCCCCTCTCCCCGACACACACTCCCTCCCCTAGGGTGAGAGTCTCGATATTTGGGGCTTTTTCTTATAATATTGTGTATGGCCCTACCTGATTTTTACATTTTCTGTCAAGACCCCCTAATGCCACCACATACGTCTAACAACCACACACCAAACATCCCGCTCCAACACACATGACCCCCCCCAGGGCTCCCCCTCCCACATATCCCTACCACTTATACACAACACCTCCCCCCCACAGGACATTACACCCCAACACTGCTCCCACATACCTCTAACACCCCCACAGTGCACGTGACACACACGCACGCCACATCCCCCCAACCTGCACGCACCGAAGTATAGGACACTCCTCCCCCGCCCGCGGCTGGGGTCCTTCCCTAGTGCAAGGCTGCATGACAGCCTCAGCCCCCTCCTCGGGGTGGGGGGGGGGCAAGCGCTGG